TATTAAAAAGCAGAGACATTACTTTGCCAACAAAGGTCAGTTTAGTCAAAGCTGTGGTTTTTTCAGTAGTCATGTATGGATGTGAGAGTTGGACTCTAAAGAAAGCTGATCGCTGAAGAATTAATGCTTTTGAACTATGGTGTTGGAGAAGACTCTTGAGAGTCCCTTGGATTGCAAGGAGATCCAACCAGTCGATCCTAAAGGAAATCAGTCCTGAATATTCATTGGAAGGACTGATGCTGAAGCTGAAACTCCAATACTTTGGCCATCTGATTCGAAGAACTGACTCATTGGAAAAGACCTTGATGCTGGGAAAGATTGAAGGCGGGAGGAGAAGGGGGCGACAGAGGGTGAGATGATTGGATGGCATCACTGACTGAATGGACATGAGTTTGGGTAAACTCTGGGAGTTGGTGATGGACAGGGAGGCCTGGCGCACTGCAGTCCATGGGGTCACAAAGAATTGGACACAACTGAGCGACTGAACTGATGCCAGTACCACAGTCTCCTGATAGCTGTAGCATTCTGGTAACATTTTGGAATTGGGAGGTATAAGTCCTTCAGCCCTGTTATGTTTTTCAAGGTTGTTTTGGTTTCTCCTGGATCCTTTGCATTTCCATATAAATTTAGGATCAGCTTGTTTTCATTTCTGAGAGAGTCACTTGTGATTTTGATGGAGATTGCTTTGAGAATTGCTACCTTAACAATAGTAAGTCTGCAGCCAGTTAATATGGCTGTCTTTGCATTTCTTTAGGTTTCTTATTTCTTTCAGCAATGCTTTGTAGTTTTTAATGTGTAAGTCTTGCTTTATTAAATTCTAAATTTTTTTTTATATTGTGAATGAGATTATTTTCTTAATTTGGTATTTGGATTGTTAATTGCTACTTTTAGAAATAAACTATATTTGTGTACATTGTTCTTGAACCCTGCAACTTTGCTGAACTCATTATTTCTAGTTTTTTGGTGTGAAGTTTTACGGATTATGTGAGATTGGGGCTTCCCTGGTGGTCCAGCAGTAAAGAACCTACCTGCCAATCCAGGGACCAGGATCAGTCCCCGGGTCAGGAAGATCCCTTGCAGAAGGAAACGGCAGCCCACTCCAGCATTCTTGCCTGGAGAATCCTGTGGGCGGAGGAGCCTGGCGGGCTGCCGTCCACGGGGTTGCACAGTCGGTGTGGCGCAGTGACTGAGCACAAGCACATGTGAGATCATGTCATTTGTGAACAGGAAATTTTCACTTCAGCTTTCCAGTTTGAATGCCTTTTATTTCTTTTCTTGTCAGTATTGGCTACTGATAGTAGTAAGTGGGAATGTCTTTGCCTTGTTCCTAATCTTAGGGGGAAAGCATTCAGTCTTTCATGTAATATTCATGTAATGTGTTGTTAGCTGCAGGGAGCTCCCCTCTATTTCTGTTTAGTTTGTTGAGAACTGTTAATATAAATGTGTAGTGGCTACTATTAAATGCTTGTTGGGCATCCATTGACATCATGTTTGTTCTTTTTCTTTATTAATGTGGATATTATGCTAATTGATTTTTAAATGTTAAACCAACTTTATATTCTTGGAATAAATTCTACTTTGTTGTGGTTTATAATCCTTTTTATTTGTTGTAGGATTCACTTTGTTGATGTTTTGTACAGGATTTCTGTATCTTTATTCGTGAGGGATATGATATGGTCTGTAGTTTTTTTGTGCCTGTTGGAGTATTTCTGGCCATAAAATGATTTGTGAGGTATTCTCTTTTCCTCTGTTCTCTGGAAAGGTTTGATAAAAATTTCTTCTTAAATATTTGATAAAATTCACATGGAAAGCCTTTTGGGCCTGAACTTTCCTTTGTGGGATGCTCTTCATAGAGATTTCTTCCTATAGATCTGTTCAGATTTTCTTTTTCTTGAGTAAATTTTGGTACTCTGTGTCTTTCTTAGGAGTTTGTCCATTTCATCATCTACATTGTCCAAAGCTTTTCAGACTATTCCCTTGGAACTGTTTGATTTCTGTATGATCAGCAGTGCTATCCCTCCCCACTTTAGTTTCTGATTTTAGGAATTTTGTTGTTGTTTATTTGTTTTGGTTAGTCTCACTTAAAGGTTTGTCAATTTTGTTGATCTTTTTTTAAATAAAAAACTAACTCTTGGTTTCATTGCTTTTTCTCTGTTTTTCTGGTTTTTAAAATTTTTTTTTATTTCTACTTCATAATTTCTTCCCTTCTGCTTATTTTGGGTTTAGTTTACTCTTAATATTTTATTTTTTAGAGAACTAGATCAGTGTAACTTAGTTCACAACAGAAATTATTTACTTACCTCAAACTGTAGCAGTAGTAATCTTTATTGATTTCATCTTATGTGGTTTTCAGACTGTTTTAGTAACTGATGTTAAAGCAGAGCCAATCTTTCTATCAAAGCCGGTTTATCATTCTTACTAGCACATACATTAGGTTTGGTTATCTCTTCTTTCAGTTAAATTTAAATCAAAATTCTTTTTGTTCTTAAGTTTAATTTTTTGGCTGTCTTGTGCCCCGCCCAGGGATCCCACCTGTGGGCCCTGCATAGGGAGCAGGGAGTCTTAACCCCTGGACTGTCAGAAGTCCCTAATGAAATTCAGACTGAGTTCATTCATAGTAAAGAACATTTTGGGCTTCCCAAAAGGGGCTCAGTGGTAGAGAATCAGCCTGCAATGCAGGAGACATAGATTTGAGTTTGATCCCTGAGTTGGGAAGATTTCTTGAAAAAGGAAATGGCAACCTACTCCAGTATTCTTGACTGGAAAATTCCATGGACAGAGGCGCTTGGCAGGCTACAGTCCATGGGATCTCAAAGAATTGGACATGAATGAATGACTGAACACACATGCACAAACAGAATTTTAGAAACTGTTTTAAGCGTTAGCAGAAATTTACTCTTAGAACTAGTCTCTTTTATCTACTTGAGAATATTTTTTGGTGAAGGAAATAACAACCCACTCCAGTATTCCTGCCTGGAGGATCTTGTGGACGGAGGAGCCTGGCAGGCTACAGTCTGTGGAGTTGCAGAGTTGGACACAACCGAGCGTCTGAGCAAGAATATATTTGCTCCAAAACCCCAGTGGCTTAAAACAGCGAAGGTTTGTTTCTGTTTGATACCATATGTTTGCCGTGTGCTGACAGGGGCCTTAACCCATCACAGTCCCTCGGGGACCCAAGCTGGCGTAGTAGGGGTACTTCAGATGCTGGTTTCAGGGGAAGAGCTGCTGACCGAGGGGAAGAGAGCTCTGGAGAATCTTGCCTGGCACTTAAATGCTCTGGTTTGGACTTCCCGGGTGGCTCAGGTGATAAAGAATCCGCCTGCGATGCAGGAGACCTGGGTCCGATCCCTGGGTCTGGAAAATCCCCTGGAGAATGGAATGGCAACCACTCCAGTATTCTTGCCTGGAGATTCCCATGGACAGAGGAGCCTGGCGGGCTGCAGTCCGTGGGATCGCAGAGTCGGACACGACTGAGAGAGTAGCACTTGGAGGTGACACACATCACTTCCTCTCACAGCTCATTGACCGGACCTCATCACAGGGCTATATACCCCACCGTGTCCATGAGCTGAATGAGAGGGGAGCTGGAAATACTGGGTGTGAACACCAAAGACTGCCCTACCGCCCTAGCTTGGGTCACTGTCACTGGATTGCCTGGTCAGCTGCCTGCCAGGTCTCCGGGCGTAGCCTCTCTCCTGGCCATTCTGTTCACTACAGTCAGTGATCTTCTGCTGATGAATCTGAGAGCTCATTGTTCTTATGCTCGGTCCTAGTGTCACTGGCCTGTAGCCTCTCCAACATGCTTGGCTTTCTTTTGCCTCTTGGTCTTTGGTCATAATATTTCCTCTTCATGGAACATTCTTTCTTACCTCCTCCCTCTTTCCTTTGGTGAGCTCCTGTTTCTCTTTTAGGTTTTAGCCTAAAAGTCTTTCCCACTTGCCAATTTGTGTTCATTGTTTAGCCTTTGAATTCCCACAGCACTCCCTGTTTCTGACAAAGCTGTTTGTGCTGCTGTAATTGCATGATGGTGCATGCTTAGTCCGCTCAGTCATGTCCGATTCTTTGCAAACCTTTGGGCTGTAGTCCTGCCAGGCTCCTGAGTCCATAGGATTTTCCCCATGGGGATTCTCCAGACCAGAATACTGGAGTGGGTTGCCATGCCCTCCTCCAGGGGGTCTTCCTGAGCCAGGGATTGAACTTGCATCTCCTGTGTCTCCTGCATTGCAGGCAGATTCTTTACCCACTGAGCCATGATTTATCTGTTTGCTGTCGTAACCTAATCACTCTCACATAGAAGCACGAAATACATATTTTTTGAACGAGTTAAATTACAGAGTAAGATAGGGAAAAGATAATGTTCATGATCAAAAAGTCTAGTTATTAAAGGACCTGTATGCTTCCTATCTATGGCACAGACCCCAAGTTTTTCAATTTATGAAAATGTGATTTTAACAATTCCTCAGAATTGCTCCTGGTTACCAAAATATTTTGTATATCTAAGTTTCAGAAGTCCTTTGAAAGTTGATTATGTGTTTTGTGTTAGTTTCTAATGTTAGAAGAAAAATATAGAAAATAAATACTCTGGGTACTTCCCTGGTGGTCTGGTGGTTAAGACTTCACCTCCCAATGCAGGGGGTACAGGTTTGATCCCTGGTCGGGGAGCGAAGATCTACATGCCTGGTGGCCCAAAACTAAACAGAAACAACATTGTAACAAATTCAATAAAGACTTTAAAATATATAAATACTCTGGATAAGCGATTTCACACTGACATGTAGGGCTCTTTAAATTGAAAATTATATTTTTCACTTCACATATAAAATTTTTTCTATTTTGCCATAATTTTCAGTAGCTTCTTAATCTATTAAGTTGATGTGACACATTTAGTTACAGGCTGTTGCTTCCTTTTTTGTTGTTATTTTGAATAATGCTGTTGTAAACATCCTTGTATCTTGAGTTTTTTTCTTTTGAACTAAGTTGTCAGAATAAATTTCCAGAGGTGATGTTTCTGGCTTAAGGGCAGTTTTAGTGGTTAAAACCATACTTTGGTTTGCTCATGGCTTGTAGTGAAATAGTATCAGGGTTATAAAATTTAATACTGTACAGCCTTTGGCATTTCAAGTAATAAAACTGCCATATTAACAAGTGTTAAGTGGTCCTATGTTTTGACATTTTTAGCAGTCTTTTTGCATTAGTTCTTAATGCAATAAGGTATCTTAGTTCTTGAGAGTGTGAATATGAGAGGCATAATGAAAGGACAAACTTGAGAAGTGAAATTAGGAGGTGTGCTAGTGAGTTTCAGTTTGAAAATAGCTCATCTTAGATCATGAATTTCTTACTAAAGAGTAAGTTGGTTTTGTGAAATGTGTATGCAAGTGTCCTTGGGACCTTGCTGAGTATTTTGAGTCTTTGACACTAATTCTACCTAAAACTTTAAGTCTTTAAAACTATGTAAGTTGTCTGTGATTAACTAGAAAATATTGCTGCTTAATAAGTAGGGTCTTACATGTAAGTGGAAATATTTTTCTTTGGACTTAGATAAGCATTTTAAGTAGCATTTTAATTACCAAAACACAGTAATGACAGTACTGATTTTTAGTCCACATGGTTTGTTTAGGTATAAGTCATTTTGGGATCATTAGCCTTTCTTTTGTTTTCCAGTTTACCTTTTAATGCTTAGTATTGAATTCTAAGAATCTAATCCAGTTTTTGAAGTGTCATTTTACTTTATTTTAAAAAATTTGTTTATTTGGCTGCACTGTGCAGGTTGTGGGTTCTTAGTTCCCCAGCCAGCGATTGAACCCAGGCTCACTGCGGTGAAAGCGTCCAGTCCTAACCAGTGGACTGTCAGGGAATTCCCTGAAGTGTCATTTTAAACAGGTTGGTCAATTATTCACATTTGTCAAAGTTTTATTGTATATTTAATGAAATAGATACACAAAAAGTGCATATTTAGCTTGTTTTTCCCTTCTAGTAGAAATCTTTTAATTATTCATAGTCAATATTTTAACAGCTCGTCTCAGAAGTTTTTCTTTTTTTTTCTCAGTAATTGAAGACTGTTTTCAGAGCTTTTGTTGATTCTGTGTAGAGTACTAGACCACTTCAGTTTCACGTTTTCTGATGTTGTCCATCATACTTCTAATAGGGTTTGGTTCATTTTTCAAGTCTTTTACAGTTTTGTTTTTCACACAGCAGCAGCAATCAAGCACTTCATAAAGAAAAGCCAGCACCACCAAAGAAACCACTGTGAATATAAATAAAAGCAAAATGACAAAGCAGGCAGTGTTCCAGTTATCATGGAAAGGGTAAATTTTTGGAACTTGAAAACCAAGGTACTGATAAACAGATGTAGTGGTTTCGTTCCAGAGGCTGGAGCTCAGTGAGGCCATTCTTAGAGACTCTACTTGTATCTCTCCTTTGAACCTATAGAAGGTAGAAAATGAATATATGTAACCAAACTCAACGAATTTGTCAATTAAAATCTCACTTCTAAGATTTGTTAGTTTATATAGACTGTGTGAATCTTCCTTATTTTCTGTCAGAATTAATGCCTAAATAGTGTTCTTAAATTTTTTCTATATTTCTATGTTTATAGAGTATAAAATTCTATAAACCATACCATTTTGTTTTTATATATATCACTTGTTAGACAAGTGTTTATCTTTAAGATTCATATATAGAAGTTAACTGCTAATGGAGGGAGAAAAAAGGCAGCTGAATTGGTTTAAAATTTGACTAAACCGTTGGTCACAGAACTATTATTTGAAAGAAAAAAAAAGAAAACCAAAACTTAGCATTTTAGAGTTGTGTTCTTCAGACTGGCCCCAGAAAAGCTTTTCTCATACCCTTGTAGAGCCTTCTCACCTTCCTGGTTCAGTGTATTCTGCCTTAGTTCCACGCCTTTAAACTTCCAAGACAGGTGATGTGAATCAGGAAATAATGGCTGAGTGAAAAATAGTAGAGAAAGAAAAGCCAAATAATGACAGTTTTCAGAATAAGGATAATACAGTTTTAGAGTAAAGTTGCCTATGAAGAGACCTTAATCTTAGGATTTTTTTGTTATATTTTTTGTTATATATATATACGCATATGATAATCTTAAATGTTTCGTAATACCTAAATGGCCTATGGACAGGAATAGTTAAGAAAAAAAACAGGCAGATTCAGCATTCCACAGGTATGTATTATTAAATTTTTATTCCATTTCACAAAATTAGCCAGGGAGTTGAAGTTTCACTGTTCTTGCATTGAGCTTTGCTCTTGTTGACCTGATACTTGTTGGGCCTTAAGTGGGACTGTAAGGATTGAAGATTTGATAGTATTAAAAATAAAAAATGACTTTTTATTATCTTAATCTCCAAAAAAATCTTTTTAAGCTTTTTGAAAGAAGTTCTAAAATACATAAATACTAAGAAACTTTTTGAAATGAGAGAATAAAACCCCAGAGTCCCACTTCCCTAAATTCAGTGACTGTTGTCAGTTTCTATGCTTTCTTTTATGAAAGAATTGAATTATTTAGTGTGGTTTTCTTCACTACATGGTTGTAAGTAGACTTTTATTCTTGTAAATAGGTGTTTATTGATTACCTGCTGTGTAGCAAATATTTTTCTAAGTGCTAGAGATAACTTGTGTGTGAGAGTATGTTTCATTTATAGACAGTTTCAAGGTAGTGTGAAAGTGTATGGTAAATACCCCATACTTATAACACAGCTACATTTCTCAACTCTTGGCCAGTCTATATCTCTGCCCACTTCCATCCCATAGAGTATTTTGAGGCAGATTCCAGACATCATGTCACTTTATCTAGGAATTTTTCAGTATGTATATCTTAAGAGGTGAGGACTCTTTTTTTAAATATAACTGCAGTATCATTTTCACACCAAAAAAGATTAAAGCTTAAGCCCCTTGCCCCCTCAAATGTAACAGTTTAATTCCTTAGTTTTCTGTTTTCCTTATAAATAGAACTTTAAAACTTTGCAGTTAATAAACCAGTATTTTCTAAGCTTTTTCTTTTCTTTTCTTTTAAATCTTATTTGTTTGGCAATTCATTTCACCTCCAGATGGACTTGGTTCCTTCCTTCCTTCTTTCGTGTATTTTGAAGGTTAAATTGATGATCCAAGGGCAAAAGTAAAGGTTTAAGTTCATTTTTTCTTGTTGGATTTAAGAATTCTTCCGTTTTATGATGCTTGGTGACCTTTCATCTTGAAATGGGAGACGGGAGACTAATGGACATTAATTGAATCAATTGCTTATGGGAGATACAAAAACACATTGTCTGGCACATGGGTATTTGAGTAACTTACAGTTTTGTGGTGGTGGTTGTTTGGTCCCTTAGTTGTGTTCCACTCTTTGATTTGTTACGCCTGCTCTTTGCGACTGTAGCCTAGGCTCTTCTGTCCAGTGGGATTTCAGACTGTGTCAGGAGACCCAGCCTTTCAAAGTTACTCTTTTATCTTTTGGTTTTTTCTTTTCCAAGTACACTGTATTAGAAGGCAGGGTTTCTGCGTTGCACAGCTCCAGGAGTATCAGTCACGTCTGGTGTGTGGTGCGTGCCTTTCAGATAGAATACAGTGTACGCTGGGGTTGTGCAGTGTGAAGGTCCTGATAGCCTACCCTTCCTCCTCTGCACGGTTGCTGCCTCTGATCTTAGCACCTTTTTCACAAATAGCCAAGTAACCTATAGAAGTTAACTCAAAGGGAGACAAGTTACCTCCTTTTCACCCAGACTTGCTGATAGAGTAGTGTCAGGTATGCGTGTGCACAAATGCCTGAATAATGAAAAAAAATCCTTTTGAATTTTTAGCACTGCTAAAATGCAGATATTCCTTGGAGGGGTAACACAGATTATAAGTTATTTTTGCTTCAGTATGAGTGAGTTTTAGGTTCTTTTTGAAAAACAGAGCTAATAGAGGAGAGGGAGAGGAAGAAGATGAAGGCCTTGGGAAATTGGGGTAAGGGTGTCTTATGTGGATGCCTAAAAACAGGAGGAATTGCTTGAGGCCTATCTAGTAATTTTACCTTGGCCCACCTAGCCCTCTCTAGCACAGATAAAAGTATTCCTTAGGCCTTTCAGGTTGTGATTCAGGTTGTGTTAAGGCCTCTCAGGTTGTGATTCCTTTTTAAAATTTGGAAGTTTCTTTTCTAAATCTGACATTAGAACTGACTGCAGGGAGAATAATGGCAGAGGAGGGAGGAGAGAGTAGAGTGACGCAGTTTCTACATCTCACCTCTCAGATCTAACCTATCCTAATAATTAATTTAAACTTCTGTTTTTTACGACTGATAGCAGAAACATTATTCTAGCAATTTTAAATAAAAAAGTGTCATTTATAATCTTATCTCCCTAACATATCAAACTTTTAATTTTTTTTTTCTCCTAGAAATTGGCTGTGTAAAATGTATAAGTCATACCTGGTTGAAATTATACTGAATTTACTCCTTTGTATTTTTATTTATTATGAGTAAGTCTTTTTAAATTTGTGGTGACTTTTTAAGACTGGGGAGAAATTATAAAGACTTAATAATTAAGTTATTATTTCAAAATGAAATTTTAGAATGATTAGAAAGTTGGCTTAAGGAACTTTGTATTCTGTTTATTTTTGAAGTGCAAGTGAACTGCTTAAAAAATTTTCGGGTCCCCTTCTCCCTTTAAAAAAAAGAGCGGGAGGGAGGGAAAGAGATGGGACTGGAGAGAGAAGGAGAGGAGAGAAGGGGGCAGAGAGACACACACTACATTCACTTACTTGAGGCTAACTTGTACCTGTTGTTGAACTGTTCTACTGGTTACATTAATACAAATAGTCACACAATCAAATGTTACACGTGAATGCCTGACTGTAGTTACCCGGAAAGATCTTTAGGATATGTTGTTAACTGAACAAAGTGCAGGACAGTATGTGGAGGAAAAAGGGAAATAATATGTATTTTTAGTTACTTGGATCTGCACAGGAATCTTGGGGATATACAGAAATTAATAACAATGATTACTTGCGGGGTTGGTTGCAGAGTAGAGTTAGGTGATAGGGATGTGTGTGAAACTTGTCAAGGTGTACCTTGTTATAATCTTTTGGTTTTCAAACCATTTGAATGTAGTTATTCAAAGCCAGAATTACTCCTTGCCTTTGGCTTTTAATAGTTTATTGTGTTTAGATTACTTCTAAAACAGAATTAGTGCATTGTGACTTTAACTAGACTGCGTACTTTATCCATATGCAAACATGCTTATAATAATTATTCTTGGAATGGTGACTATGGATAGATGTATATGCCACCTCCAAGGGAACTTGTAAGTTTTTTGTCATGGGTATCTAAGCAGTTTTCAGAGTATATACATAGCAGGTTTATGTTGTGAATGATGACAGTTTGCCATTTGTGAATGTGTTAACTCATGAGCAACTCAGAACATTCACCCTTCAGTTAGCTTCTGGGCATAACCTGGAAAAAGTAAGCCCTGTAATATAGATTTACTTTCCACCTTACATGTAATGTGGTTTATTCTTTCATAGTACACTGGAACTCTAATAATTTTGTGTGTTTAGGGTAAAATCTAAATTTTTGATGAGTTAGACATAATTAGATATGTATGTAGAGGGGCTTCCCAGGTGGTGCTAGTGGTAAAGAACCTGCCTGCCAGTACAGGAGACATAAGAGACACGGATTTGATACCTGGGTTGGGAAAATGCCCTGTGCATAGCAGTCCACTTCGGTATTCTTGCTGGGAAAATCTCACGGACAGAGGAGCCTGGTGGGCTATAGTCCATAGGGTCGCATGGAGTCAGAGACAACTGAAGCGACTTAGCATGCACGCGGATATGTAGAAAGTCATTTACCAATAGGATTTTCTTGTATTGTGATACTGTTTTTGAAATTAAAATGTTAATTTATGTGCAGCAAATGCTGTAAACGTGCCTTAGAGAAAGTGAGAGAAGAGAGTCAAAGGTGGGAACGGTGGTTATACAAACATATATAATTATATAGATAATTTTTAGTTTTTTTAAATATAAATTCCCTCCACCTAATTTTCCTCCCATTTTAAGGCCCTAGTGAAGTATTTACGGGTATAGGACTTGGAACTGTTCTGGAGCCTTTGAAATGCCAGATTGAAGTAAAGTTATGCTTTTGTTCTATTTATGGAAAAAGCCCTTGAATTGAATTTTGTGGTGCCTTTAAAAGCATATCTCTTTGAAATATGATCAATTAATCGTAATAGCTTTTACATAAAGAATAGCTCACCCAACTCTGGAACTGCCTGGGGTGGGCCATATATCTAGTTAGCTAGGTGAAATGGCAGTGATCCTCTATCTGTATAACTATAGACAGTTACCAGTAAGATGTAGGCTGAGTATAGTGTTAAGACAGTTTGGGAGGTAGGAGTTTCTGTCTGAAGTTTGAGTTATGAGTTAACTGTTCTATTTGACATTTATTTTTATTTGATCTGAGACTGTTTTTGAGCTCTCTTACTTTGGGTAGCAAGCAAGAATATTTCCTAAGCAATTAACCACATTGTACTGAGTATGGAGAAGTCTTTCAGCAACCTTTGGGCTTTGTAGGGGATACTTTTCTCATGCTGACAGAACACTGATTATTATAGAAGGAACAAAAATTATGGAAAAAAACCTTTAAAATTTAAAATAGATTTACAAGCAAAGAAAAGGGCAGAAGTTGGATCTTTAGGTCAGTATATATAGGTAATATTTTAGAACTATAGCATTTACTAAATAGTTAAATTTTCATGTTTGAATATTTCAAATTCATATAGGATTTGAAATTTGGTCAGCAAGTTGATAGTAATTCTTAGCAGACATGAATGATGGCTCTGAGCTATGAAACTAATCTTATTACCTCAAAAGGTACCCTCCTCCCTCCCTTAACCAATTCTTCTTAGGACATATTTTCATTTTAAAATGTAGTTTATCAAAAAAGATTTACTGTGTATTTATTTTTGAAGATTAGTTTAAGAATAACTGTAATATTGAAATACTGTGATAAATACATATTTCTGTGACATCTAAAAATGAAACATTAAGTAGATTTTTATTTAATAATAGCATGACTTGTATACATATTTCTGTGACATCTAAAAATGAAACATTAAGTAGATTTTTATTTAATAATAGCATGACTTGTATGTTACAGTAATATAGACTTTAAAATTTGACTGTAGGAAATTATTTTAATTAAAATGTATGAAAGTCTAAAGCTCTGGCTCTGAAAATCATCTTGTTGCTTACAGTATAATGCAGCCTAGTAATGGCACTTTTGTGGTCTTTTTATTTTTATATAAAAATCACAGTGTCATTATTGGCCTTCTCTGCACCTACACTTAAAATCAAATAAAAACAATTTTGAATATATTCTCATATTTTCAAAAATATAACAGACTTTAATATAAATGCTTTAAATTTGTATGTATAATCAGAAAGCTTTACTCCTGGATTTGCTTTTAGTCTAGATTCTTCAAGAAAAATCCTTTGTTAAGACAGACCAAACTGCTGAAATGAAATAGCTCAGTGAAAATAAAATTTGCAAGTAATCTCTTAATATCAAATGCATATGGCTTACTCTAAGGTCTGGATATAGATCAGGTTCATAGAAAATGTCATGAATTTTCCATTAAGGCACAGATGGTAAGGGCGCTTGTCAAATAGCAAAGGCAGTCTTCATATTTTCATAATAAAATGCTACCAGACAATGACAAGAATAGAGGTTTTTTTGGTCTTCAGTAGGAACAAAGCTTTCTGCTTGGGTATTATGGTAAAATATTCACATTGTATCATAAGAACATGTATTATTAAATGAAAAGATCGCGGAAACCTACCTCCCGTCTGAAAGGCTGCAGTTGAAGTGATGGTACCGTCTGTTTGTAATGCGTTCTGGTGCACAGCTGAGATGGAGCTGCGCTTCTATTGGCTGAGCCACAGGCAGCTGACGGTTCCCTCCGTGTTCATTTGCGTTAAGTCCTGCCACCCGAGTAAATCATTCATAAGCTTGAATAGAGCTGTCTGGGTTCTCAGCGGTCACCCCCTCTTTAGGCCTCATTTGTTGTTGTTGTTTTTAAGCTAAATTTCTGCATAGGAATTTGTGAGTAACAAATTGATGATTCCTTAGTGTTTAGCTGTAGAATTTCTGATCCTTCGGTGGTTATTTAAGGGCTCAGGCTAGAAGCTAATCTCCAGAGAGGCAGTAACCTGGGAAACCAGCAGTCCAGGTTCTCCAGCGTAGTGTTTCCTCCACGAGTTGTGCATGTAATCTCATAAATGATATTCTCTTTTCTCTTCTTTCAACTTGCCATTTCTATAAATCAGACTCTCTGGAAGGGATTATTTCCATGTGGTAGTTTGCTGTAGATGAAATTCTGAGGGAGAAGAAAAAGAAAAAAGGTTTTTATCTCTACTAGCTGAGAGAGGGTTAACTTTGGAAGGTACATCAGCGATACTAAGAAAACCGTCTGGGAAAGTTGAATTGCAAAAGAACCCTCAGTTGGATGTTTAGAGATAGAATGATGTTTCTATTATGGTTTATTAGAGTTGTGGTCTAAGTATAACAGTCAGGTTTTATCTGTGAGAGTGGCCATTAGAACAGCAGCAGGCTGGGTTAGTGCTTGCTGTGCAGACTTATTTTTTAAAATTTTGAATAAGTCACATTTGTTTCTAAGACTAGTAAAGGAGTATGTGGAAATAATCTTACTACGTTCATTTGTTCAGTCAACTAATATTTATTGTTTACTACTCCTGGCATTAAGCACTGGAGACCTTGTAAACAAAACTGTATATGCTTCATGATTGACCATTTGCATGGTGCTTATCCTTAGCATATTGTCCTTAGCTATTCATCGTCTTCCCAGTTAGTTGTTTATTTACTATTATAGGATGAATGTATTACTTCAATAAGAATTCACTAAATATGTATTTATGAATTCCTGTTTTCTGATAAAATATCCAGTTGGAAATGGAATAATCGTGTTAAATGCTGACTAATGATTCTTACACCAGGCACTTCACAGTTTACCACTGGATTAGAATCTTTAGTCTGCCACTTATTAGTCTGTTTTCTTATGTTCAAAATGAGACCGTAAAAACCTTTTAAATAGGATTTCTGGGAGGGATTAAATGAGAAAACCATTTTAGCATGACTCTTGGCAATAGTCAGTGTTCAGTGAAGGTTAGTTACTGCTGTTTGTTATGAGTGTCCTGAACACCTTGGGAAAATGAACTACGTAGGAAGTATATCATAATTGAAATAGCAAATGTGAAGGCACACCTGTAAGGCATTCTTAATGTTATTTCAGAAAACATAAAGTAGACTTTAATGTGTCAATTAAGTTATATTAAAGTTGTAGCAGTTATTCTGAAAGGAAAATTGCATATGAGGTTTCATTTTAGTCTAAAAAAATCATATTCAATAAAGCCTTTTCACTAACTAATCTCAAAGGAATATTATGCTGCCTTCTAGAAGCTGTTCTTTTGGATCTCTGACAGTTGTTCCATTTGACTTGCGGTTATTCTAATGCATTCTTTTGTTTAAATTATTATTACCAAACTGGTGCCAGAAATTGACTCTCCCTGCTTTTATTTAACCTCTTCCATTGTGGATCAGCCACATGGGAACTTTATAGCATGTGATCTGATTCCTTGCTAATAGAATGTGTGCTTCTGAAATGTCTTCCTAGTATTTACAATGAATTTTTCGCTCTTGCTACCTATGACTTGTAGAATGCATTTGTGATGCAATGGTAGCATTCAGATTTCTGCCTGTAAATATGCAACAGAATGGTATATGTTCTGAACCAAATGATCTATATAAATTGCTCCTTGTATCATGCTGCTGTCATTTTAAAGTTTTCATGTTTATACAGTGGTACTGCTTACATTTTTTATTTCAATATATCTCTGAAGTTGACTTTAAAATAGTTATGGGATCATACTTTTTAATAATTCCCATTGACCAATACCTATTTGTTTTACATTGATAAGCAGAAATGGATGTAATTGGTGATAAATTGAACTTTTTATCCCTTACAAGTAATCTACTCACTTCTCATGGTTTTTAAGGTTGTTAGAAAAGCACTATGGATCAGGTTGTGATTTGTATTGTCCTCTTGTTTAAAAAACCTTCCTTTTAATTTTGGAGGAAATCTAGTCAGACTTAAGGAAGGTGAGATTAAAGGTGCTTAGAAAATAAATATATTCTAATGCTTTTGAAGTATTTATACTTTGTTTCCATCCTCAGAAATTAGTTACTACACATGTAAAGATTTTGAATTTATCACCAAAATTTCACAGAGTGGAATTTTCTAGATAGGAAAACTCAATAAATATTTTACCAGATTTAAAATCATCTTAGCTGCTTAAAAGTAGATAATCACATCTAATATGAAAATGTTGTAATTGTTTCTTGAACTTCATTTTCAGATCATAGCAATGGATCATTTAATTTGAAAGCTCTATCAGGAAGCTCTGGATATAAGTTTGGTGTTCTAGCTAAGATTGTGAATTACATGAAGGTAAGTACTTTTCTCAACTAAGAAAAATTCTTTTGGTTTTTGGCAGAAGAGGGGGATTGGAATTTTCAGAAGTAAATTTGTATATACACGTCAAAATTTATCAAATTGTATGTTTCAGTATGTGGTTTATTGTATGCCTATTATACCTCAGTAAAACTAAAAAAATATTTAACGCTTCAAGCTTTTTACGTTGTAGCAAGTTAGCTTTGCAGTGAGTCGTCTAAGTATATTTTATTTACAGTATAGAACGTTAGTTGAAGTACACAGTATGAGCCCACCATTTCACTTAATAAAATTGTGCTCAGGCAGTAGAGATAGCCGTCTCTTAATTAGTCAATACCTGTTGGCAAAAGCAGTGAAAAAATGTGAATGATTTACTGGATCTTGCTTCCATTGATGGTGAGAAGTAAAAAACACTACATAGTTCAGGGAGATGGTGGTGGTGGCTTTTCTACATCTTGGAGGGGAAAAATCAAGATTTACTGAGAGTCTTAGAAAAGCTTTGACTTCAGAAGAATTAGAATTTAATGTTTGATGGGAGATTTAGTATTTTTTGAAGTAGATTTTGAAGTTTGATGATACAACATTTTGGCTTTACTGAAGATTCTAAGCCCTAACTTACTGTATCAAAGTGAAATTTCATTTAGCTAAAAATAAAATGTTTAAGTGATTTCAGATTTAACCTCTTTGTCTGCCAAACTCATATTCTGTTTAGTTAGTACTTGCACCTCTTTCAAAAGTCATGGAAAATACTACTGATATATTTGTTGTTATTTCATGTTTTAGCTGTTGTTCCTTAGTATATAAATCAGATTTATGTGAAGGCTTTTCTTTTGTAATTTAAGAGAACTTGGTATCTGTCTGGCTATATCTGAAATCTGTGGTTTGTATTTAATTTTTGGTAGAAATCTATAATTTCCCATTATTGAGTAATATACTCTGATATTTAGGCATTCATCTTTCATTCCATCCATCCATTCCCTCACATGGTAAATAATTATTAAAACCTACTGTATCCTGTTAGGGGCAGCAGAGAATAAGATGGTTAGGTAGCATTACCAGCTCTGTGAACATGAATTTGAGCAAACTCCAGGAGATACTGGAGGACAGAGAAGCCTGGTGTGCTACAGTCCATGAGGTTGCAGGGTTGGACATGACTTTGCAGCTGAACAACAATACTCTATGCTAATTATGGCACAGATAGTATGAATACCCAGACGAATGTATGCCCTTGAGGCTATCAGCCTTTTGAGAGAGACTGACATTTACATCTCATATTTTTGGTACTTTATAGCTTTGTTAATCTAGAACAGCGATCTTAAAATTTTTACTCAAATGTTCCCCGAAACAGTTTTGAAAAACTGTGTTCCTTTGTACATAGTTAAATTGATAAGTATAATTTTTCAGCAGAATTTTTGTGTAAATGAATTGACCCACTCCAGTATTCTTGCCTGAAGAAAGAGTCGGACACGACTAAGTGACTAACTTTCTACTTTCACAGTTTGTATTAGTTTCAGGTGTATGGCAAAGTGATTCAGATGGCTTTCCCGTTATAGGTTCTTAATTGTTTTTTTTTTTTTGCCCCCAACTCTTGTTACTCCCTGCTCACCTCCCCCCTACCCACTGTGTTCCCCTTCGGCAGCCACAAGTTTGTTTTCCATGTTCAGTCTATTTCTGTTTTAACAGAAGTATGCATAGTGACACAGGATGAAATTACTGGCATACTTTAATATTTTAAATAAAATAGAGCACTCTTAAATTTATCTTAGGGAATCTAAATGCCATTTTTTAAAAATATAAAAACAAACTTCAGTGGTTGGAAATTTTAATTATTTTTCCTTTCAACTTATATGGTAGTCTGTTACTCCTGCCGAATTTTATGCAAGTTTTACATATTTTAGTGTTCAGGAATCTTCTATTGAGCATCTATCAAACTCCTTTGTCACGGCACTGTGTATATGCAATAAGGGATGTTTTCCCTGTGACCATAAGGGTTAAATATTTTCTGGTTTGAGTTACAATTATTCTTACCACATAGTTGCTTGGAATAACATAAATACATTAAAATTTTGATTAAAATGTACTTTGTATGTAATTATACAACAAATCAATTTTTACTGAAATAAATGGAGCTGTCTTTCTCCAGTGGTTCTTGTATCTGGAGATAATATTTTTTAATAGAATGAAATAGGATTTGACATCAATTTCTGGTCTTATTTTGAGATTTTGTAGTGCTGAAATATAAATATGTTTATTGATAATAAATATGTTTATTCTAATAGAAATTTTGTGGTAGAAAACCTTACCGGTTGTGTGCCAAAAATCACATAGTGACTTATCATCAATCATTTCTCAGTTGACAGTTCTGAGGTCCGCCTTCAGTTTTGTTGAATGCAAAAGAATGGGAATCACCTAATTAGCCAAAGAATTTGTTACCTTGTCCTTAACCATTTGTCTAGTTCTACGACATAAGTCAAAAAAGTTTTATTGAGACTCAATAAATAAGTGATTATATCAGTTTCCTCCTCTTCTCCGTTCAGGCACTTTTGTTAATCTCATACATTCAGAAGCAGTTGAAAAATAAAAATGCTAGTTTCAACAGTTTTCCCAATGCAGTTTTTAATGAAATATTTTTATGTTTATAAATATATCTTTGCCAAAGCTGTCATGTTGAAGGTTTAACATATTCAATTTATGGAAATTTTTTCTTGGTTAATAAAGCTAGTTTCTACTCTTGGGCCAACAGTATATATCAAACTTATTTTTTTATCATTAAATATCTTTTACTGTTGTTGTTTTGTTCAGTCGCCCAACACTTTGTGACCCCATGGGCTGTAGCACGCCAGGCTTCCCTGTCCTTGACTGTCTCCCGGAGCTTGCTCAAACTCATGTCCATTGAGTCAGCGATGCCATCCAACCATCTCATCCTCTGTCATCCCCTTCTCCTCTTGCCTTCAGTCTTTCCTAGCATCAGGGTCTCTCCAATGAGTCGGCTGTTTGCATCAGGTGGCCAGAGTATTGGAGCTTCAGCTTCAGTATCCGTCCTTCGAATGAATATTCAGGATTGATTTCCTTTAGAATTGACTGGTTTGATCTTGCTGTCCAAGAAACTCTCAAGAGTCTTCTCCAGCGCCACAGTTTGAAAGCATCGGTTCTTTGGTGCTCAGCCTTCTTTATGGTCCAACTCTCATATCTCTACATGCCTACTGGAAAAACCACAGCTTGGACTGTGTACCTTTGTCAGCAAATCAGTGCAGACAAGGACTGCAGCCATGAAATTAAATGCACCTTTAATCCATTGTCTAGGTTTGTCATAGCTTGTTTTCCAAGGAGCAAGCGTCTTTTAATTTCATGGCTGTAAGTCACCATCTGCAGTGATTTTGAAACCTAAGAAAATAGAGTCTGTCACTGTTTCCGTTTTTCCCCCCATCTGTTTGCCATGAAGTGATGGGACTGGATGCCATGATCTTACTATTTTGAATGTTGAGTTTTAAACCAGGTTTTTCACTCTCTTTTTTCACCTTCATCAAGAGGCCCTTTAGTTCCTCTTCACTTTCTACCATAAGGGTGGTGTCATCTGCATATCTGAGGTTATTGATACTTCTCCCAGCAATCTTGATTCCAGCTTGTGCTCCATCCAGCCCAGCATTTTGCATGATGTACACAGCATATAAGTTAAATAAACAGAGTGACAATATACAGCCTTGACATGCTCCTTTCCCAATTTGGAACCAGTCTGTTGTTCCATGTCCGGTTCTAGCCATTGTTTCTTTACCTGCATACAGATTTCTCGGGAGGCTGGTAAGGTGGTCTGGTATACCCATCTCTTGAAGAATTTTCCACAGTTTGTTGTGATCTACACAGTCAAAGGCTTTAGCGTAGTTAATGAAGCAGAAGTAGATGTTTTTCTGGAACTCTTGCTTTTTCTGTGATCCAGCAGATGCTGGCAATTTGATCTCTGGTTCCTCTGCCATTTCTAAGTCCAGCTTATATATCTGGAAATTCTCGGTTCACGTACTGTTGAAGTCTAGCTTGGAGAGTTTTGAGCATTTCTTTGCTAGCATGTGAAATGAACACAATTGTGTGATAGTTTGAACATTCTTTGGCATTGCTGTTTTTTGGAATTGAAAAGAAAACTGACTTTTTCCAGTTCTGTGGCCACTGTTTTCCAAATTTGCTGGCATATTGAGTGCAGCAGTTTAACAGCACCATCTTTTAGGATTTGAAATAGCTCAGCTGGATTTTCATCACCTCCACTAGCTTTGTTCATAGTAGTGCTTCCTAAGGCCCACTTGACTTCACATCCCAGGATGTCTGGCTCTAGGTGAGTGATCACACCTTCGTGGTTATCTGGGTCATAAAGACCTTTTTTGTATAGTTCTTCTGTGTATTCTTACTATCTTAATATCTTCTGCTTCTGTTAGGTCCATGCCGTTTCTGTCCTTTATTGTGCCCATCTTTGTGTGAAATGTTGCCTTGGTTTCTCTAATTTTCTTGAAGAGATCTCTAGTCTTTCCCATTCTATTGTTTTCCTCTATTTCTTAGCATTGATCACTGAGGAAGGCTTTCTTCTCTCTCCTTGCTCTTCTTTGGAACTCTGCATTCAAATGGTATAACTTTCCTTTTCTCCTTTGCCTTTCGCTTCTGTTCATTTTTCAGCTATTTGTAAGGACTCCTTAGGCAACCTGCCTTTTGGCCTTTCTTTTTATTGGGGACGGTTTCGATCACTGCCTCCTGTACAATGTCACCAACCTCAGTCCATAGTTCTTCAGGTATTCTGCCTATCAGATCTAATCCCTTGAATCTATTTGTCATTTCCACTGTATAATAAGGGATTTGATTTAGTACCTACCTGAATGGCTAGTGGTTTTCCCTATGTTCAATTTGAGCCTGAATTTTGCAATGAGGAGCTGATGATCTGAGCCACAGTCAGCTCCATGTATTCTTTTTGCTGACTGTATAGAGCTTCTCCATCTTCGACTGTAAAGAATATAATCAGT